CTCAGCCCCATAGCTCAGAAAGCAAAACAAAACCATTTTTGCACAGCGAGGTAGAACAAACAGAGCTGTTTAATACCTTCTAAATGATATCAGTTTAAAGATCAAAGCTGCTTTTGGGGAGCACCGGAAAGCAGAGCCCTCCTTAGGGCAGGGTGTGTTCAATTCCCCTGTACCTGGCCACAGGATGGAGAAGCCTCTCCAGCCACCTCTGGGAGCAGGGAACTGTTTTCAAAACTAGCAAGGTGCTGTCTGAAAGGAATTAACTCATTCCATTCTCAGCATCTGAGAAATTTGGCCATGAAGAACCACTCCTGCAAACAGGCTCGTTTCCAGAGCTCTGGGATTCCTGCCCTGTGCACTCACTTTGGTGAGGGCAGAGTACTCTTCACACTCAAGATGAGACTGAGAATCATCTCCAGTGAGAGAACCTTACAAACATACCTCAGTTTAGAAATATTTAAAAGCAAACCAAAGCAAACCACCTAGAATTAAAAAATAAATCAGGAGATCTAAACCAATACTCCTGCTTTTGCATTCTAACAGAAAAATATAAAGTAAAATAAGTTTCACCTGATACCTGACATGTAAAAGCTCCATTTATGAAGGAAAAAGAGAAGGAATAATTTACATAATTCTATTTTCAGTCATTTGGGTGGGAGTCCATTGGTTTCAGCAGAGCAGATCTAACAGGTTTCCATGTTTTTTCCCTGTTACCAGCTCTGATCTTCAGCCCTTCAAAGTCCTGAGCTCAGGGCTGGAGAGATGGTGAAAGACAATTGCTTATCTTGTTCTACTTTTAAAGTATGTCATTGCTCCATTTATAGGCAAATAGCACAGTAAATCTCAGGAAAACTCTTCCACTACCTGAATTAACATAGGAGCTGTCCTCTGCAGTACTCACCCCAACATTTTCCTGATTTATACCTTTTGAAATGTATATTTTCAATGAACACACCACCCTTGAACAGCTGAGTATCCTTCCACGGGTTCAAATGCTGGGAATGCAAGGAAATCTGGGGCACTGAGCAGAGAGTGGGGCTGGATCATTCCCACACCCAGGAATTAACCAGGAGGGAGAACTGATTTGGAGCCCAGGCAGGTGAACCATCACTAAGGCAGCTGGTGAAGGAGGTGCTCACCACGATGCAGGTGAAGCAGCAGAGCTGTCCAGAGCATGCAGCAGAACCAGGGAACAATTCTTACCAGTGAAGGGTTTCACAGAAGCTGGGACTGAGGGAAAGGAGTCACAGGCAAGCAGCAGACTCTGGCCAGCAGGACAAGCAGAGTCCCAGGGGGTGGAACAAGAGTGCAATGGTGAGTGCTGCTGCCATCACCTCCCACCAGAGCAAGGATGCTCCACAGACCTGCCCAACTCCCTGCTACCAATCCACTCTGTCCCAAAGGAAGTTATGGACAGGTCTCACCCTCTCCTTTTCTCCTGTGGTGGGTGAGAACAGCACACTCACTCTGGGCTGTCCCTTTGTCCCTGTCCTGCCCATGAGAGGCTTTCAGAGCCCTGGGGTCCTCCTGTGCCTTCCTCCGAGCCATCCCAGAGGATGGAGCTGCGTGCCTGAGGAGCCCTGCAGGTCCCTGCCCAACACTGAGCCCTTCCCTCAGCGCCTTTACCCCTGCCCAGCCCTCTCACCCCCTGCCACTGACCCCAATTTAACATCCACCTGCTGTTTTATTCACCTAACAAGTTTATTCCTTTGTCAGGTGCAGCCTCGTGTGGGAGCGCTGCGCCGGGACGGGCCCAGCGGGATTTATTGCAGTAACAGGTTTATTCCTACAGCAGCTATTCATTTCTGCAGATTCCCATCTCTCTGGCTCCCTGTGCCTTCCTGAGGAGCTCCTGCACAGAGCGAGCCTGCATTGCCCTCCTGCGGCCGGCACCCGGCTCCCCGAGCCCGCACATTAATCATAGCAGCAGCAGTGTAAAATTCAATTTTACCTCTCCATTCATTCTGAGATGAGTTGAAGGCCGGCCTTGTACATATAAACCACACTTTACTTCATCAGAGCCCTGGTAACAAATGGAGTGTCTTCTTCGGGGAGTTTAACCATCAAAAAACACCGCGCCGTTTAATTCCACGCGTGCCGAGGGTCAAAGAAGGAGCTCTTGGCATCAGCAAATGCTTCAGCCCTCAGCTGCGCAGTAAACTATGTTTTAGAGATTGTTCCTCAATACGAAATGATCAGTCCATTTATCTGCTAAAGCAGCCTGTCTCTTTGTTCAGTCTCCCAATATTTTTTCCGCTGACCTGATCTGGACAATAAACCAAAGTCATCTTAAGATATTCACTGTTCAATTTGTTACTTGAGTGCCTCCGGGCCCGGCTGGCCCTGCCGTCAGCATCCCGGGCTCCCCAGCCTTCACCACTAACCCCAGTGTCCCTGCAGTGTCCCAAACCCCTCCAGATGCTCTCCCCAGCGTCCCCCTCTCACCAAACACACCACAGCACTTGCAGAAGGATTTGGGGCTCTCTGGAGCTGCTTTTGCACAGCCACAGCCTTTCCCCAGGCTGGTTCCCTTTCAGGAGGGGGAGCTGGTCTGAGCTCGGGGGTGCCCAGGTCCCCTCTTTGTGCCCTGACCCTCTCCTGGAGCTGCTGAGTGCTGCCACCTGCACTGAACAGGGCTTGGAAGTCCCACCACAGCTTGAGTGAATGCATCTGAGCCAACATGCAGGGCAGGAATTTATCACTTATCTCCTCCTATAGCTGGAATTTTCCCTGTTTTGCAGCAGTGTGGTGCAGGAACTCACCACCCTTACACTTCTTTGCACACTGAGCAGCAAAGGCCAATGAAATGGACTGTGTCCCTCTTCCTCAGAAGGGGATTTAACTCATGCACAGCCAAGTCACTGCTGGCCATCAGCATCTCACTGGTGTCTGCTGTCTGACTGGTAACTTCCAGCTTTAGAACTGCTTTCCCTCTCTCTACATCACTTTATGGGAGGCTTTTAGAGACTCAGTTCCACAAGAGGTTTCACAGTACCTCAAGGGGCTGAGCTCACACTGGCACTGCCACCTCAAATTACCTTTTCCTGGCTACCTCAGGTATCTCAGTTGGAAACTGGGTGCCGTACACCTTATCCCTTGGCATCAGCAGTCCCTCTGCACTGCTTGGAAGATCAGACACCCACACAAGGCTGTGGTGTCCACTGCAGGAGCCAGACACCCAAAAGTCAGCCCTCACAGCTCCCTGACTCACACCCAGAGCCCTTTCATGCATGTAGCTGTAAATAACTAATGCAAGTTTACACTACAGCGATGAGGGATTTAATCTTTAAAGATGTTAAAAGAGCTTCCAAACCACTGAACCATCCTGGCTGCACAGACAAGCATGAGGAGCTCTGTATCATCAGTTCAGCATCACATCGAGCAGTGAGATTTTAATATCAGCCTGCTGACTGCAGCTTTCTCACTGCCTCCCACCTTGGCTGTGCCACACCAGCCCTTCAGCCAAAACACCAGCCTGCAGAAGGAAATGAGAGGTGCTGGAAGTCTCTAGAAGGACGCTTTCATTTCACTGCAACAGCCCAGTGAGTTGGACTGTTGTGGGTGTGTGTGTGTGTGTGTGTGCAAAGCACAGCTTGGAGAGACACCTCAACAGCTGGGCAGTGCCATAATCCTAATTGGTGCTTTTTTCACTGCAAACTTTCATTAAAAACATTCTTTATGTTTTTTCCCAAGGAAGATTCCAACCCTTTATCCATGTTTTGAAGTTTCACCCTGCTTCTTTCTCAGTTTTTTGAACAGAAAGGGAGGGGAAACAAGCTTCCTTTGCTTTTTTCTCTGGAAAAGCACAGCGAGGAGAAGGATGTGGCAATATACTTTCTGCCACTCAGCCAGAGAGAGTGAAGTGGGGAAAAAAGTGCAACTGAAATCAAGCACAGCATTTAAAGATCAGGCAGCACTGAGAAATATCAGATGTCAGCAATCTGCTCCTTCCAGTTTTAGAAAGAAGAGTTTTCTTTCAAATGGTCTCAGTCAGTTTTGGCAACAAAATTCCAAACACTCAAACCCACTTGCCAAAACCATTTTTGCCTTCCAGAAAAAAAACCCCAGTGTTTGTGGGTGTCAATAAATCTGACAGACACTGCAGTCTCCTACTGCTGTAGGAGATAAAATTTCACCCATATTTACACTTCAGTAAAATGAACTACAAGTGGATTTATCCAGAGAAAGACAAAGTCAACAGCAAAATTCACATGTTCCAGTTCCTTTTTTCCAACCAAAAAGTCATCCCAGAATAAAATTCTGGAGGGAGGAGGTGAATGTTCAATGTTTATCTACTAAGGCTGGTGAAAATACACAAAGCAGGCTGCTCCAAGGTGGTCAATAATGCCTCTGGAGTCCTTGAGGGGGTTTTTCCCTGGAGAATCCACCTTGGGAAGGGTGTGATGGTGGTAGGCACTGTGCCTGCCTCTGTCAGGCTCAGCTCCACTCTCCTCTCACTGCACCTGATACAGGAATTCTGGCAAAGCCTAAAACTGCTGTCTTGCCAGAATTTATTGCTTGCTCAGGTACAAGGGCTCCTGGAAAGGTTCCAAACCCTAATGGGAACTTCACTCAAATGACAGAGTAGCAGGTTCCCACAGAGTTCAGCCTCCCCAGTCCCTGAGATTTCCTTCTGCAATACATCTTCCCCCTGTCCCACCCCTCACACCCACAGGACAACCCTTAAATAGACTCGAGAGGACTTTGTGACAAAGGAACCAGAGTTAGGAGGTGTCTGTGGAGAGCTTTTGGGTGGAGAGCAGCAGGAGGACATTGAGCAGGTCCAGAGCAGCAGCTGCTCTCACCATGCTCTCACCAGCATGTACCAACCCCTGCTGTCTTCATTCCCTTTAAGTGCTTCCCACTTGGATCTGCTCACTCATCTTCACAAGCCTTCCCTGTGGTACAGCACACCCTCAGGAGGCCCCCAGATGGTGCTGAGATTGGAAGGTGCAACAATGAACCCCACCAAGGGCACAGACACCTGCAGGGTTACCTGCCCTGGTTACACACTGCTCACCTGCTGCAAATCCTGCCCACAAAATGGCACCAGAGGGGACATTCTGAGCAGGGGTTCATGAGGTGGGAATGGGGACATTTGCCATTTAGAGAATTCACTTAAAATTAGCCTTTTCCTTGTATATTTTGGGGACAGGATGAGAAACAGAACATAACATGAGTCTTGACAGCTGCTTGGAAAATCAGTGCTAGGGGATGTGGACACCTTACAAGCATCACCATGTGGGGACCCTCGGCCAGACAAAAGGGCAGTGACAGCCTGGTTCTGTCACACTCTATCAGGAATGGCAAAGTGACCACACAGACTCTCAAGCTTTAGCTGCAAAGAGAGAGCACTTTTTATTCTTGCAGATCTTCTTTTATAGACAGTTCTGAGAAGGTCTGAAAAGGCAGAACTTTGATTGGCCATCAAACCAACACATCACCATGTCTGGACAATCAGGAACAACACCCCTCGACCATTTCTTGCTCATAAACAAGGAACAAGGAACAAACAACACCTGCAAAGGTTGTTTTCCTTCTCCAAGGACTGTTTGCATTTCCCAAATCCAAATCCTTATGATTTCCCAGGCCAGAGTGAGAAATCTGTGTATTTGACTTTCTCACAGGCTCAAGCCAGTGCCTGAAGCCTAAAAATCTCTTATTGAACATTGTCTGTCCCCACATGGTTCCTCTCAGCCCAGCAAGAGAGATGTGCCCTGCTGCCAGCAAGAGGCACACACACACCAGAACTGTCTCCTTCTCTCCATGGTGAGCCCTGTAAGGCATTTCAGGTGTCCAAACCCTGCCACAATGGTGCTCAGACAGGCAAGCTCTGAGGGCAGGGTTGTAACAGAGCCAGGAATGACCTCTGGAAATGCCCCAGTGCAGCAGGTCCCCTGTACACAGCTGCAGGAGGAATCACTGTCTGCATCTCTATCTAAACCAAGAGGCTTAGAGGCCTCTCTGGTCGATCCCTCACCACTGTAACACTGCTTTCCCACCCTGCAAAGGGTTAAATCAGCAGCAGCTGTAATTTCCAAAAAGAAATTTGGAAGTCAAGACTTGTTCAACGCCGCTGCAGTTGTGACACAGCCCCCCTCCATGTGCCAGGCTGCCCAGCATCTCCTGGGAGCTGCCAAGAGCCTTCCTGGTGTCCTGGCTGCTGTGACAGCTCCTAATGGCCATCACTATTTCACACTGTCCCAGCCTGTGCTTACATCCAGAGCTGCCTGTGTGATGGATTTCTCCCAGCAGCCCCAGCCTGTGCCAGCACAGCAGCAGGGCCAGGCAGATCCTGCTCCCTGTGGCAGAACTCAACTTGATCCTGGCTCCTCCAGGTCCCAGAACATCCCAAAGAGTTCCTTCCCTGCCCTGGCTGCAGCAGGATCTTTGCACAGCTTGTGAAACCCTGCTATCTCCCCAGACACCAAAGGGAGAAGCAGCTGCAGTTCCATAAAACCTGGCCCATGGAAGATGTTTCCTGACATCAAAACATTCCCTGTCTGATGGGATCCTCTCTCTGCAATAAACAATCTATTTAGTGGCTGAAGGGAACCAAGAAGCTGCTGTGACTTGTTGCTCTCTGTCCTGCTCTTTCTCCTCTAAGTTTTGACTTTTCCAAGCAAAGCAGTAGAGGATGGAAAGTCTGCCAGGATCTGGTGGGTGATCCCTGGCCAGGTGGGACACCTTGAAGGGAACCTTGCAGGCAGAGGCTGCACAAGCAAAGCAGGGGAATCACTGCAGGGACACACACCCACTTCCAGGCATCTGTGGGAGGACTCCAGAAACACCCCAAGGACAGGAAACATTCTCCTCTGACTTTTCTCTCCTTCTGCCTCTGCCTGCAGCACCAGCCTGGGAGGAGATCTCAGGGAGCAACCTTGGGCCTGGGAAGCACGGAGAGAGCAGGGGTGGGATGTGCAGCTGGCTCCTGATCCCACTGTGAACTCATCACCTGGGGCTGCCTCGAGTGCTGCTCCTGCTGCCCTGTGCACTCCAGGAAATGTAAGGGAGAATTCAAATAAATCTGAAAGACAAGTTAAATGCATTTAGTTATTTCAAATTCTATTATTCTAGAAAGGAGAAAAGAGGGTTTTGGGGTTTTTTTCCAGGAAATTTTTGATTGTTCATAATTGGCAACACAGCCAAATACAACCCCTGCATCTCACAGCCTTGCACATCCGCAGCCCTGCAAAAGCCAATTTTGGAAAGGAGCAGGAAGATATTCCTGCATCCTCTGAGACAAATAACATCTGCCATGCTGCCACAAACAGAACAGGGAGAATTTTTTGTTTAGTTTGAGGGTTTTTTTGCACTAAACTGTTAATTTTGTTTATTACAATTGTGGCTAGAATCCAAGACAGCTCCTCAAATATTCCTTTGTAGTGAATATGAAGTGTGGACAAATTGCCATTTTTTATGACTCAGGGTGTAAATGAAAGAGCCACTACAGAATGTCCTGGCTGGGAATTTTGGGGGTTTTTTAGAGCATTTTGTTTGTTTGCTTTTAAACCAGTGGTACATTCAGCCCTCTGGGCTTTTCACTAATCTCTGCAGCCCAAATACTGCCTTTATCCCACAGCCACCGACAGCTTTTTCCTTTACCCTTTCTCATCCCACTTACCATTAAACTAATTAAATGTTAAAACTGGAGAGTAAGGGAAACTTTTGAAGAATTGGCCAATTCGTTTCTCCCCAAGATATTTCTCGAAACCGGTGCCTGCCATCTACTGGCACTTTCCTCAAAATGCAGCCAATTTTAAGTCAAAAACTGGATATAAAAAAAGTTTTTCTACAAGTTACTTATGTTCATCTTGAAACTCGTTTATTCCAAGCCCCAGCAGAGTCACTCACTCTAAATGCTGAGTTGTGGTGTGGACTTTCTTGGCCAATTGCTGATTGTATGATCACTTGATAGAGATTAACATTATGAAATTGGAGTAATAAACCTGTTTCCAAGCTGCTTTCAGTAAAACTGCCTGAGGCCAGTGACAATTACCAGAATCCCGGGATGAGCAGAGTTATCCACGACACTGATGCTCCCAAAAGAAGGGATTCTGAAAGGCTCTCTGCTTCCCTGCTCACTTCTCTCCATCCTCCCCTACAACTAAGGCTCCCAGCTTTTAATTATTTGTCTCCTTCTTCAGATTAACCAGAAAGGGTTGAGTTTTCCTATTAGTTTATCAGAACTACTTTTAGTCCACAAGATGGGAAATATATTTCAATTAATATTTTCTTGGCTCAATCTTTATTCCAGTTTAACTCCATTTTCTTCTAGAGCTGACAATTCTGAAGTCCTGGGTAGAACCACTGACAGCACTCTCTGAGGGGCTTGAAGATTACACCTTTTTTTTTACCTCACATTTGATGTCAGTGGCTAGTAAATTTACTTTTTAAAAAAACCTGTCTCCTTGCCAGCAGTGGAATGACTTCTATTCCAAGCAGTATTTTGATTAAAGGCTTTGATTGAGGCTGATATTTTAACCTCAGTCTCTAAAAGGCAGGGTTCAAGTCCTTAAATATTTCCTAGACTCCTGACAACCATCTTCAAATGACTCCAACCTCCCCCAGAGCCTGTTAATGCAGCAAAGAGCCACCACCAAGGCTGTGAGCCACCTCCTTACACAAAGCTATTTCAAGCAGAATGCTCTGTACTAATCCAGCAGGGAGCTGGAGGCCAAAGCTTTATAAAATAGAGATTTTCAGGATTTTTTTAAGTTTTCTGTCTTCCAACACCTTCCAAGGGTCCACAACTCTGATGTGAGCAGTGTTCTCTCTCTAAAGGTGACCTTAGTCTGGATCCTAATAACACTTAGTCTGCATCTCTAGTGTAAGGTCTGCCTGTTCTGGGTGTGGTGATAACTCAATAGTTTGTAAAACAGCTAAAAAGATAAGTCTCAACTCCTTTTTTTTTGTTTTTAAAGTCCTACTGTACTTATTCCTACACAACCACCTTGCAGTATGCGTTCCCAAAGTGATGCATTCCCAAAGTGATGCATTCCCAAAGTGATGCATTCCCAAAGTGATGCATTCCCAGAGTGATGCATTCCCAGAGTGATGCGTTCCCAGAGTGATGCGTTCCCAGAGTGATGCGTTCCTAGAGTGATGCGTTCCTAGAGTGATGCATTCCCAGAGTGATGCATTCCCAAAGTGATGCGTTCCCAAAGTGATGCGTTCCCAAAGTGATGCGTTAGTGATGCGTTCCCAAAGTGATGCGTTCCCAAGCTGCCTCAATTCAACAGTTTTATTTTTCTTAAGAATACTTCCAGAGGACAGAGAAACACAGACAATTGACAAGTTTTCATAATCAATTCTTTCTCCCATCCTTTAAGAGAAAAAAAAACCCTGCAAATTGAATCTTTTTAGTGAGTTCCAACACTGCTCTCAGCTCTGGCTAGGAGACAGTCCCTGCCCCGAGGAGCTTCCAGTCTAAGAGAGTAATACAAAGGTGAGGGTCACAGGGACAACAGGAAGGTGACACAGTTTTCATGCTGCTGGTGCCATTCCTGGAGACTGGTACATGTGTTTGTGCTGGCAGTCAGGACGGACACACTGAGGAGACCACACAGTGCACGTGGCACATCGTGTTCTCTCTGCAGGTATTTGGAAGGGACACGGTAAAGAAGCTCTCAAGAAAGTTTTCAAGGCAGTCCTGTGATGAGGAAGGCATTTGTTCTATGTAGAAATTTTTGCCTATTTACATCCCTTTTTTTAAGAGGAAAATAAAACAGTTAATATGCAAAAAAAACCACATTCATCAAATCAGTTGAATTACAAAAATAAAATTTTCAAGCGATGTCTTTCTAAAATAAATATCAATAGGTAAAAATGGAAAATGGAAATAAATAATACATCCAACCTATCTTGTTAAAACACAAACAAGCATAATTCCTTACTGAAAAGTAGCCATGGAATCCCAATTAAAGCAGCAACTTTAATTCAGGGGCATCCTTCTCAATAACAGAAGAAAATGAGTCCCAAGCAGTAAAAAACAGATTTGTAATAAAAGAAATATAAAGGACTGTGTTCCCAATAGGAAAGTATAGAACATCTCCTTCTTTGCTGATCAACAAAGGCTAAAAAACAGAGTTCCATAATATTCTGCAGACAACATTTACTGGTATTTCCAGCCAGTGGAAGGTTAACATTTTTTCTCTCATAGGATAAAAAGAAAAGTAAAGCCCCGTCTGTGAACTTGATTGATTGTGAACATTCATCTTTAGTCCCCTGATTGAGCAGAAAATTAATCCATCTTAAAAATACTGAGCTGCTCTTTCTCCCCCTCCCCAAACAGCAACTCCCACGTGCAGCACCCAGACATTTCAGTACCCAGGGACTGCTCAGCACAGTGAGCCAGGCCAGCTCAGCCTCAGGCAGGACACTTTTACTGCTTGGGAGCACAAGCTGCACCAGTTTGGGATGGTCCAACACGAACTCAATGTTTCCATGGCAGCACCTTGCATTTCAAGGGGTAGTTGATTGCCCTGAGCTCCTGCTGGCAGGAGCCAGGCTCAGTTTGGCCGGTGTAAGTCACAGTGCTCTGGGTGACAGGAGGCAGGGTACCCTACTCCCCACGCTCATAAGGCAGTACCATTCCAGGAAATCGGTTTCTTTCTTGAAGGTTTCAGGTTTTTTTTGTGGTCCTGTATGTCCTCTTAGTTTTTAAGTTGTTTTTCTACCTATTTAAAAGGAGCAACATGCCCAGATTAACAACAGAGGTCAAGTAGGCAAAGATTAAAATGTCCACAATGCAAGCTCTAGGTTTACAGTGTACTGGTCATGCATAAACCCCTACAGATCCTGGCAGGCATTTAAACATCTAGGTTGATGGAAGATCAAATTGCTAATGAGCTGACTGCTGAATGGACTGTAGCCAGAAACCACTGGTAGGTTCTGCTTCTGATGTCACAACAACTGAAGTCATGTCAGTGGTCATCTACTTTAGCCCTTTTTGCTTTCAAGGAAAGATGCTGCAAGAAAAGGAAAGAACAAAAAAACTGCTTAGCAGATACACCAAAATTAAGAAAAAAAATCAACTACACAATATTTTCTATCCTTAATCACAATTTAAATAAATTCTAACACAAATATCCACATCCATCCAAGCTCTGCTTGTTACTGACACAACTGAAATAAACCCATTAAATAAACCCACATGCACCCCCAAAGTGATATTCTGCTTTGTAATAAAATATCTTCTAGTTCTTCTGTACTAGCTGCAAGGATAGGAACAATTTCCCACTAGAAGCCATTTCCCAGGTGTAAAAATGCACAGAAAGATGTGCTGTCAATAATACATCTGCAAAAAACACCAGGAGAATATATGCAAAGGATGAGATTTTAACAACTGCATTATTCCTGAAGTTGCACTGTATCTTTGGAACTTCTGTGCCCTTAAAGACCTATAAATGTGGAATGAAATATGAAAAGAGCTCTGCAACTTGGAATGAGAAATAACTAACCAAGATCAAGCTGTAGAAGAACATTTTTAAACATAGAGTCCTATTCAGTGGTATTTGTTTTTAACTCAGTAAATTCAGTATTTGTTTTTAACTTCACAAAGGAATAAAACCTTTCCTTCCTACCACAAAGACATATCCTTCAGTAGAAAAGGATATCAATAAATTAACATAAACCTGTGTGATCTGCAACAGTTCTTATTCAAATTTTACATGCATGACTCTAAGTTTTACACAAGAGAAATATTTCTAATTTCCAAACATTTTATAAGGACACCCAAGGCTTTTGGCTGATATGGATAACCAACCAGACTGGAAGAGAGAATTTTTCTCAAAACCAGCACCATCCTTGAGAGGTTGAATGTTTAATAAAATACCATTTATTTTAGGATGAAAGCAATGATTAGGTCACACTGCAAACAGACTTCACTTGATCAAATCAAAAGGATAGCAATGGTAAAAATTAGGTTTTGATGTCATTTCATAGAATATCCACAGCAGTAGTAGCACTACCCTGAAAAACACGTTCTCTCAGTCAGGGAGGCTGCATAATTCAAGACAAGTCCTCTTTGCTACCACCCCCACCTAAAGGAAAACCTCCCAAACTTCAGCCCATGGAGAGGTCACAACAGCATTTTGTGTGGGTGTGGGCTGCTAAATGCACATTAAGTGACAACTGTAAATATGTGAGTCAAAGGACTAATTATTGCAGGAACAGATTTGATACAACACTGGCTCAGCTCCTTTTTACACCACGTCTCCAGATCATCTCCCAGCAGCTGAAGGCTCAAGGCTCTGCCCCACAGGGCATCACTGCCTTTGTCAAATGTTTTATAGGAAAAAGGCAGAAAATATTCAGCTACTTAGTAAATCCATTTATAGATGGGAGCTGTCTGGATAATTGAGATGAATTATCTAAGATGAGCATAAAAAAACCCTTCTCTCAAGTCAATCACATGAACAGATGCCAAACTGTTGGGAACCATAACCACAGGTGTCCTAAGGTGCTCCATGCACCACAGGATTCTCCCTTTAGACAAAACCCCAAGGAAGTGAAAGAAAATAAACATGAGATTCTCCAAGAAGTCAAACAGTGAAGCAGATGTATAAATTAGAAACAGGCCACCTTTTTCATAGGTATGACATGCAAATGCATTCTTTCACTCAGATTTTGGAAATACTTCATTAATCTAAAATATAAAGCTCAGTAGATGTTATTGTCCCATGAGAAATTCAAATACAAGATCAATTTGGTAATCTGTACAGTATTTATAAGCTATGTGGTATCAACAGCTAAACATTTAGATAATTTTCATACCAATTCAGCTCTGAGAATGACCAGTGAATGAGTCTGGATCGACAGATTCATATGGGACAGTCAATAAAGGTTGGTGACAACCATAAAAAGATACCTTTAAATAAATGGTATTTGTATCACATACAACAATTTGCAATAAAGGTTTGCAAAAAAACAGCTGTTTTTTGCCATTTCACATTTGAACAGATCAGAACTGATTTTTCTGCAGTAAACATAATTAATGCTCAAAAAAAAGACTCAGGATTTTCACAACCATGTGCAAAGCATACAAAGACTCTTCTAAAATTATTATGCAAAGTGTGACCACTGCCTACCTACAGTGCTTCTCAGGGAAATGCCACCAAGTGCATACACAGAAGTGTAGAAATCTTCATTTCCCAAGGTGATGTGATGGTAAATGTAACTTTACCAGCAAATGGATTTCATTATGTAACTCTGAGATCCACTGGCTGGATAATAGGGAAAAACATTTCATGCATCAACTTACTATCATCTTCCTTTATATTAAAAGCACTACAATGAACAGAGCCAACTTAATTTCTGTCCCACGAGACCACAGCAAAACACAAAGCCTTAGAAAGTTCAGATACAAGAGCTGCTGGTGCAGCAATGGTACCGTTTGGCCTTTATGCCGATTCCGTACCGTTCCTTGCTGGTAAAAGTGAGGTGCCAGTTCCAAGAGCCAGGAGGATTCAACAGCTGTCACATCTCTCATGTAGTATTTAGCAGTCTGTATGACTTCATTGTAAACTACCCTGGGAGGAAGGAGACAAAAATGAATAGTGTTTGCTGTCAAGCAATGAGGGAGAGCTGATTAACGGCGTATTTAGACAGTTTCACATACATGCTGCCAGAGGTGGCACTTACAGAGTGACAAGGGAGTCTTTAAGCTGTAATTCAGCCTCTTGCCTCTTTGCCTCTGGCTGGTCAGAGTTCTCCACATGAAGAAAATCTTTGGATTGCCATGAAAACAACCTCACATTCTACCAGCCCAATGGGCGCAAGAATACATGAAAGAATGTTTCTTATAATATGGTCAAAGGGGACTCACAACTGATGCTTTGGAAGACAGAATATGAATTATTATCTGTGGTATCATAAGGGAAGATGTCCAAAGCACCAAAACCCCGCACCCACAACAAGGAGGGCACGAACCCCAGCAGGACTATCCCCGGCGCCAGTCTGCAGACAAGTGAGATAAGCATCAGAGAAAGAAATCCACTTTAACTCCTGCCAGAACATCTCCTGGGAAGACATTTAGGAACACCCAGCCGTGTGGACTCATCCCTACTGCCAGCACAGTCAGGTTACCAGCATGGACAATCTATTTCTGAGGTCACCTTCAGTAGGTAAGGTCATTTTCCCCAAGGATGTGGAAACCCTTGCACTGAAGGGGCAGTTACCAAATCCTCAAGTCACAATCATCTGCCTTCTACACACAGCGGAGCTGCAAACACCTGAGGTTTGTGGTTTCTCATAAATTAGTATTTAGGTCTCAAAATCAAAGAGGAGAGTCCAAAATTGTCTTTGCCAAATGCATCCTGAGACATGGCAACTAACACAACTAAAAATAAATCAGAGGAAAACAAGCCAGAATGAAAACACATTTCCCATACACCTGTGGATAGAGAACTGAAGCCCTCAGTGGAGGATGGTTGCCCAGACTGCAGTAGCACTGAAATTCAGGTTGCTGACCAAGTTAAACTCCTGTGTGACAGGATGCCATGACACCAGGCCAAGCATATCCTTCTAAGTCTCAGCATCAGGCAGTGAAGAATTGAAGTCCAAATACTTCAGGTTGATCATGCTGACCTGAGAGTCTGACACACATTTCTGTTTGTTATCTGAGGATCTTTGACCTGAAAATGGAGTGATCATATCCCAACTCATGGGAAGTACAGCCAGTTCTCTCCTCAACCTGCTGGACAGCCATAACTTTTCACATCATGCATTTAATGTGTAAGCCCTTTCCTTGCAATCCATTTGCCATTTGTGCAGCACCTGTTTGACAGGATATTTCCTCAACATTAATAAAACACTTAACAAAAGTAACTTAACCCTAGCTCTGCTTAGGTACAGAGACTACTTGGAGAACAATCTGCAGTGCAAGACGTGGTGCCCACTAAACAGGGTCACCTGGCTCAGCTTTCCAACCTCTGCAGGTTCCTTTTACTGTTAAACATCACTCTATTTCCCCCATTTATTTAGATACTCCCTACAAAATGCTGCAAAGGAAATGCCATTTTGATTCCCCCTGTGAGAGCTATGACCTTGTACATCTATTCCTCCACTGATGGAGAGAACCAATTCAACTTGGGTGCTGCAAATCCCTTAAACAATGCCCAAAGAGAAAGCAGCTCTAACTTACCAGCGTGGAGGTTTCTCTGCATACAGCACCGAGCTGGGGTGGATATGAAGCTCGTGGTCATCACGGATAGTCCTTGAAAGCAAGATACTATTTCAGACTGTGCCTCCCTTTATTGCTTAACATTTGGTTCCTTTCTGCCCCAGTATGAATGTTTAATAAAAGCAAGAATGAAAGGGCTGTAGTAAATTAACAACATTTGCATTTAATGAACAGATGAAACCATGAAAATGCTGGCCAAAGGAACAATCGATAATTTGATGTCCTTAAAGAATTTTATCTACATTAAATGAAAAAGCAGCAGTTCAGGCTTTTACTCAGTGCTCTGGGAGTGCTACACTACTGCTCTACAGCTGTACTTGCTTAACTTGAAGCAATCTAATGACTACTAGTAGCAGCATCCCACTATTAATAATTTTAGCTGTATTTGCCAAAGAGAAGAGATAAACATCGAGGCAGTTTGCAAATACAGAACTTCAAATATTTACTGTATTGATTGCCACATGTTCCTAATTGCAAATTAGGAGAAACATCTGCTTGTTGATTAAATTTATTCATCAGAGGAGATTTCCAGCCAAGCACGAGTTGCAGTGAAACTGTATATAGTCACCTGTAAGCTCCTGTGGAGTGGAATTTAGCTGCATTAGCGAAGAATCCAGAAACTATGCACCTCAAAACAGGATCTGGATCACCTGGAAAGAAGAATTTTTCTGTAAGATGAATCACTGGAATGAAAAAAATCCCTAAAATACCACTTTAATCATCTCAAACAACTTTACAGAGTGCATCAGGCTTTGATAGCAAAGGCAGAAGAGCAGACAAACCCTGAAATTCCTTTTGACTTCAATTTCACAGCAAACCAAGAATTGCTGCCTAAAAAATGAATGTTATCACCTGTGTCTCCATGAAGTTTCACAGTCCCTGAAGCAGCCCAGTGTGACAGCTGAGCATTGAAGGATGATTTTTCAGAGCAGGTAGAGACAAATGCTAAGAACCAGTCTTGGCACCCGTGCACACACAGCACAGCTGGAAATCACATCCCAAAGACTGAACAGCACTTTGAACAAAAACTGCCTTTTTGAAAAGACAAAGAGGGAACAGGGTGACCTATTTATGAGTCTTTTGGAAAATCTGTCCATTCAATAGATAATCAGTGGTTGTAATCTTTGCTGGAAATCTCAACTAATGAAGATTGGACTAAAATTTAATTGTACAAATAGGCTAAAGTACTCTTCTGCAGCCATTTTAAGGAAAAAAATCTGATCTAAATTAATGTTGTTTTGAGGTCAAGATAAATATACTCCAAAGGTTACAAGAAAAGCAGGGAGCAGACTGACAGTTTGGAAACTACCTTCATTATGTATTAGACAAGAGCTTAAAAAAAGTATCACCTTCACTGGACTTCTTTGGCACTTTAAAGCGGACGAGAAGTTTTTTCAGCTGCTCTCTTACAACAGATGCTCTCACAAGCCCTTTATAGTTCAGAAAGTGATCCTGACACCACTGGGAGCTCTTGCTGTGCTGTACAGTGAGAAGTGAAAAAAATCTCAATGAGATACCATCAGCAAAGCAAACCCAATCTCTTTTGGATAGCCTTGCTCTGTGTTAATTCTGGTCTCTTACAACACATTTGTTGTTGTTTTCCCTGAAAATTACCTATTTGCAGAGCAACTAACAAGGGTATGTAGCACTAATAACTAAAAAACATGTCTCAAACTTGTAAATAGCAAGAGATCAAATGCTATGGGGTATTTTCAAACAGATGTGCTTCATTTCTTCATATGTGGTGAAAGAGGACCAGTCATTCCATTTCATTCTCTCAGATCATAAACTCATCTGTTTTCAACCTCAAAATGTAAACAACCTTCTCTCTGCAAAGAGCTACTTCTCCACAAACCAGCACTCCCTCCAAGAACTTTTGTATCTGACTGTTTCTAAGAGAATTACACAGATACAAAATGTGAAGGGGCACATTTGACTTGGTGCTTGCCTGGCTGCTTTGGGGCTGGGGAAAAAAGTCATTTTTAAACACTTGGGTGGTTATACTGCTTCAACTCAGCACTGCTGCAAGTATTCTACTATGGAAGTGTTTTATACCAGCAAAACATACTTCTCCCAAATAGGAGTAGCAACTTCAAAACTATTAAATAAACCTCAGCTTACAGAGCAGTACTAAGGTTGGTGTCAGACCTCAGGGCAAAAATATAAGGTCAGTGAAAAACAGGGTATGATGATTAATGAGTTAATTTAACACCAGGAAAAAGACTGCTAGATTTAAATGCAAATTATCATCAGTAAAACATGAGAAAATATCAATTTCATTGGAAATTTGGACATTTGTTTTCCCCAAGCCCTAAGACAGAATCCCTGTCTCCTTGAAAACACAGCTATCTACCCATGAGTTCAATGCTGTACCCCAACAAAATTCTCCTTTACTCCCTGTTCAGAGGAACTGTGGAAGGTCTGTGGCAAATGGTGACCACAGAGTCTTTTAATGTACAATTATCCCTTTACAGGCTTGGTAAGTCCTCAGCTTTGAAGACTTTTTGTATCCAGAACTTCCAGATTCAGAAGTGAGAACCTCAAGTTTCTCCCATTCCTGCAAATCCACATCCACTTGAACTGACTTACTTTGACAAAGGCTTCATAAACATTCAGCATGGTCAGATGATCACCTTCCTCCACAGCAAACTTTCTGTGTTGCCTGGCCTGCAGAACAAGAAATATCATTTTACAGGCAGATTGATTTTTTTGCTGAAATCATGTCTAAATTAGAAAAATGAGCAGATAAAGAATCTCCATTCATTAAAATCAGGCTCCTGCTACCTGTTAAGAATTTGCTGCATCCTTTCTGTTTTGTTCATCTCAAAAGGAAGTGGTGTGTGGGAAGGTTTTGGGGGATTTTTTTGCAAACCCTTACACTGACCAATATTGGTTCATAATCTTTCATGTTTCTGGAACTCAGAAGGAGGTTTTTAGCACTACTAAAAGACTCCAAGGTTCCCCTGTTATTTGGTTTATTTTTTCACCTACAACAAACAGACACAATTCAAGACCTTATTTTATTTTCACACAAAGTTGCAGTCTGTAATAGGCACCAGTAAAATACTTGCCAGAAGTCCAGAAATGTGGACCCAACAAACAGAAAAGGAGACACAACTGAACTTACAGCCTGGTTCTTTTGATTTGGAGGGATCACAAAGATGTTTTGAATCTGCATCATGGCAGCAATTGTCAAAATCTCTTGGGAGCAGCCAAAATTTCCTGAAAAATAAATGGAGAAACTCAGTAAAGGAAATCTTCCATTCAATTTACCCCCATAGAGAATAAAATGAAAAATAAGCAGAGTATGTATTTATAGTATTTAAAACATAAATACATAAACTCCTGTATTTTTTTAGGAGTGTATGTTTTCAATTAAAAACTTAAGAGGCAAATGTTAGATTTATTAAACTGTAAAATGTCTTACACTAATTATTTAATAGAGATTTCAACCAATTCTTTTCACTGCAGACCAAGATGAAGTATGGTTTGAGTTTAGCAAATGTCTAACAATACATTACAATTACATGACTGTGAAGAAACTCTGATCTTTTTTCTCCTACCTGATTCCAGAAGCATCTTTGCAAACATAGGATTCAAAGGAAACTCTGCTATTCTCATTCCCAGAGGCTCTGTTAATCGGCAGTGCATATCCAAACCTGCAGCACATTAAGAAATGTAGCTGGGACACAGGCAAAATAGCACAGCAAAACTTATTTTAGACTTAAACTGCACCAAAGAGCAAAATTACCTAAACAAAATTAGCTAAAATATAGCAAATGCACCTTTGAGTTGCTGAATGTACACTAAGCCTATAGGCAATCCATGATACCCATTCACTCTCCCATGGGACACCAGAATTTTCTTTTTCAAAAATACTTGAACACACAAGTTTTTTAATTTTGACCAAGTTTTACTGTTATTTTCAATAATTTGAAAATCTTGCAGTCCAAGTCAATGCCATGGCCAGAGGGGATATTAGCTGTTACACCTCTGATCCACTTTTTAAATATTTAGTAACATCTTTGTTCATGGGGATGTAAAGCAGATAAGAATGAAAATGGGATTAAACATGGAATAGGCATTATTACAGAAACAGGAAGCTCTGCTGATGGTAGGGTGTCATTGTTCTAAGCACATCTACTTAGGTCATGGAGAAAAAGAATTTATTATTATTTAAACAAGAGATACACAGCTGATGAAAGTTTTCTGATGAAAGTTTAGTCTGCTTCGTGTATTAACCACTGAACTGCCAGTTATGTTCCAGCTGTAGCCTTTCCCTGGGGATGGCACAGGAGGAAGGCCTGGAAGCTGGATCTGTGATGCCCAGCTCTCCCTGAGCAACCCTGCACATTTACCATTTTAGAGGTTTGGCTCCCTCCAGTCAAACCCTGCAGCAAGGCTGACCCATGCAAAGCACCAGGTCACAGTCTGAGCTTTATGCTGAGATTTCAGGGAAAGATTTAAATGGAAAAACCTCTGCAAGAGGACGTAGAATTAAAAAAAATACAATACACATGGAAAAAAAATAATAATTAAAAAAACAGTAAGAATTGAAAGAGAAAACTTCAAGAGGCCAAGCTGTATGAGGCATGACAAAGAGGTAAAGCACCAGAGAAAGGCTACACAAGCAGGGGTGAGTGAGAGCCCAGTAACAGGACTTGGGGGCACTGCAGGTTGCATAACCAAGCAGAGCAAAGCAGCCTGAGGAAACACAGCCATGGCTCTCATATGATAAAACACATTATTTGTCAGACTGTGTGGTGGTAACAAAACCACAGCTGCACTGAAGCTCTGCTTCACAGAGAGAAGCAAAACCACAAATCAGGTCAAGGAATGAGATCTCCTATAACTTATGTCAGCATATCTGAATCCACAGATCCCTCCAGCCAGTGTTTATTATTTGATATGCTATCAACTCATGACAATGTAGTAATTCACTCACACATCCCTGCACTGTCCAACAAAACCTACCAGGCTTTTCACATAATGTCACAGTGTTTTACTTAGAAACAGGTACCAAAGACAGATTTTGTGCAACTGAACTAATATATTTAAATACAAAGTCACAGCACCTGCAAAAATTAAGGTATGACAGCTTTCATCTGACTAGTGCCATATGAGAAGTTTAAGTTTACCACAACTAATAGCTTAGATAGGTTTTCATCTACAGAAAGACAACTGCATTCCTAAGTAAGATAAAAGAGAAATTTCCATATATCTATGCACCACTTTCTACAAATGCATCAATCCAAAATCCTTTGCATCCTAAAAATGTCAATACAATTTTGCATGATCTATATATGGGTTGTGCACAGATCTATTTGTAGTAATAAGATTGAATATAGCCTGCAATGGATACTAGTTTGGAATAGGTGAAAGCTTCCTTCAAATAATCATGGAAGCAACCACTGAATCCACATATATACAGGAAATTAAAGATCCTAGAAAAAGATATTACAAAGATTTTAATTAAATGTGCTCAGGAGAGATTATTCAAGTACCATGACACTAAAATGTTTTATGCAACAACCACCAGTGTGTGACAGGCTGAGGGATTAAAACTATCCTTTTTAAACTTAGGTAGAGTGGTTGTTTCTGATAGGTGACAACTCACAAAGAAATCTTCAACAAAGACCTGAAATAACAGTAAAAATAAAGCCCTTTTTGCCTACTTATTTACCTCTTAAATTATGCTTAAAACAAATAAACTCCAACTGACAACTCAGACTCTCAAAAGGGCATCAAAGAAGAAGGCTGAGGAGAGATACTCTGATGTAAATCAGTTTGCACCACTGTAAAAATAACCCCTCCACAAACAGTGATGTGTTGTTTATTCAACACAGCTATCTCAGCCTTAGGAACATCTGCACTGCACGAGTTGGCACCACGCTGGCACAACAGGGCCTGACCCCAAACTGCCTTTGTGCATGCAACTGCAATGCCAGTGATGAAATTCGTGCTCCTACTCACGTAAGAGAAATTGAATCCTCACTGCACCTGCAAATGCTTGGGCAGCCACCTCTGCACCTTGTATAAAATCTTTGTAATAAACCATCTAAAACTTAACTTCACCTTAAACTTCAGCAAAAACCGAAGAGTGAATCCACGTATCACACATATTTCTTTCCATCTGAAACACCAAGATCAGCACTTATCTGTCCTGCTACAAAGCTATGCAGCCAAGAGAGTAAGAGCTCTTTGAAGCTACATGAGCAGAATGCTTCTGCCAGAACATCACCCAGCTAATCAGTGAGTTTACTGAACTCTCCTCTCTGTTTCCCTAGGGTGGTTTTGGCTGTGAATTCATCCTTGCAAAGCGTTCCCGAGCCACTGTGAAAGTCCTTGTTCCAAGCTTGCAGAGGTTGCCAAGAACCAAGTGCCTGAAGTGAAACTCTCCTTTGCGAGATGGAACCCAACCAGCACAGGGCAAAATCCTGGCCAAGCAGAGATACAGCTCCACGAGAATAAAAAGAGAGCAGACTGCCACAAGTTACAGCACAGCATCTGTGAGTGGTCTAAAAGCAGCCACAAACCTCTGGAAGCTTCCAAAATGTACACAATTTCCTTTATGCTGCCTCATGTTTACATTATGGAGCAAACATTGTCAACTCTGAATTAGCTACAACAAGGAGCTAAAGTCAAACAGAGCTTAGTTTTGATTACTTGGCCTCACAACAAGTTTCTGTTTTGTTTAGTTTGTTGCATTCAAAAAGATTAAATAGCTGTCAAAAAAAACCCAACAATCTAACAGTTCTTCCTATAAACAAAATTAGGCAGCAGGCATCCCACTCACCACACAAGAAGGAAATGGAAACTGTGTATAAAAACATATTACTACAATGTGATCTGAGTGTTAAAAGTATCCAACAGCAGCATAATGAATCAAACCAGAATGAACACAGAATCAAAGACTGTCTCAAGTTGGAAAGGACCCACCCACAAGGCTCAAGTCCAAGTCCCTGCTCCTCACAGAAGCACCTAAAACTAAACCATATGCCAATAGTGTTGTTCAAACTCTGCTGAACTAGAGAACAAGCTGTGATTAGTAACACAGAGAAGAAAATTTTAAAAAAGTAAACCCTTCCAAGTAACTAAATAGTCAAAAAGTAGTTTTAATTATGCTCTCAAGATCTGTCAGACTAATCTTTTCATCACAAGTTTGTGTGTATCTGTTGACTTGTCCATAACTGGCAAGTTCAATAGTAAAACTAGAGCAGAGTCTTTGCAAGTGGCGTGCATTTAAAAGCATGAAAAGCCAGCAAGCTGTGCACTGAAACACACACACTGCCTTGGGAAAGAGAGTTCCAGTTCATCCAGGAGAAAATGTGCTGGTTTTAGGGATGATCAGGGGTTTTATCAGTGGTTGTATCCTGTAATCACAGCTAATAGAATCAGAAGAGTTTGACTTGCTGTGGGTTTGAACTTTGCCTCAGCTGCAGGACCAACAGCACAAACATGAAAAGCATTACACTGCAGCAGGTGTAGCCTTTCAGCAGCAGCCCAGCCTGCATCCAGAGCAGAGAACAAACTGGAATTAATTTTAAAAAATGTAATTAAATTAGCTCTTAATAACCTTTGTCAATCAAACCTTCAAAATCATAGCAAGGAGGCAGTTTGAAAACTATCACATTTTCTGTGGGGTTTCATGCACAGCCTCCAGGGACTGAGCTCTCCCAAATTCAGGCGTCACATTTGACTCAAAATGCTTAGGCAGAGTTCCAGCACACATACAGCCAGATCAGATAATGACTGCAACGTGTTAACAGGAAAATTTACAACAGACACACTGTGCTTTTCAAAGTCCCACTAGGGAACAAAGTTGTAATTCTATCAGCCTTGATAAATTCTGGGTCATTGCACTCGAAACTTTGCTTAAAACTTTTTTTGTTTATATCTGCAGGTGTTACATGTTTCCACTGCTGGCACAGTAACATGAAATGAAAGACCACCACACTAAGTCTGAGGTATGTAACAACTCATCTAAGTGGATGCAGGTAAATTTAGTGTCTAAATCCTCTAGTGGTCTAATTAGTGTCCAAACTCCATTTTTATCTTCATACCACTCTGTAAGAACTGAAGAAACTCAGGATCTGCCAAGGAACAAATACCCTCATCAGCTCAGAGCCCTGTACCTACCAAAGACAAATAGCTGGTTTCCTCCCATGAAATTGCAAGGAAATACAGATAAGACAGCTATAAAATACTCATTTTCCTAATCTAAATATTTAAATTCTAGTTTAAACTCTATTGCTGCTGTTTGCTTGCCTACCTGTCTGAAATAACCAAAAGAAAAGAAAGTAAATCCAGAAGAGACTGAGGTACACTCTAAAAATCCACCAACAAACTTTACACCTGTCACAGCTATGCTTCTCTTTCTTTCTCAAAGCACAGTTCTCAAATGCAAATTTTATGTCCATCCAATCACCAAATAGAAATTACAATTTTTTCACAACTCCTGTAATATTGCTACAAATAAGATAAAGCATTAAAATCTCACCTCCTAAAGCATACAGCAGCTCTAAAGCTTGCACCATTGACTGTGCAGGGGGTGGCTGTGAAGAGAAAATGTGCATTGATTGAAGTTATCAGCATAGAACATGAGTTCAGCAAAGAACATGAGTTCATAGATCATCCTCTTCTGCAGAATTCTTAACTACCTACTCTCTGCTGCAAAATTAAGAAAGACCTCACACTCTCCCTTCCTCATAAATACAGTGCAAAGGGACCGCAGTTACAATTCTACAGAACCTCACAGTTTGTCTTTTTAAGACTTTCCTGACTTCTCAGCAATTTTAACATCAAACTCTGGAATATGAATGGCTGTTTCTAGGTTGTCACACACATTATTTGCACTATTGTTTTCCAGGAACACACTTTGCTGCCTGACAGGGAAAAAAGCTTTCCAGATCAGCAGGGTGAATGATTCTGTGGGCTATCACCAAGTCATCTCCTGATCTCTCTGCAGCCCAAGGAAAGGTGACAGCCTTTAGAGCCTGGCACTCACTGAAAGGAAGGGGAACCTGAGCACGTTGTCGATGCCCAAAGCCTTGAGCTGCAGGATGACAGGGGCCAGGTTACTGCGCTGCATCTCCGGCACCGTGGACTTGGGCAGCTTCTCAAAGTCCTCCTCTGTGGGGGGAGAAAAAAACAGCTGAGCTTCAACTCCCATTCTGTGCAGTCACCAAGACAGAATCATACCCATGTCCAGTTATCACACATGGATACTTAACAGGCATTGAAAGATGATCTTTAACGCAAAGATGATCTTTCTCCAATTACTGTATTTTAAATTACTTTTATTTAAATAGAATTTCAATGGTTTTTGCTACAGAGCTGATTCTGTAATTCACCCACTCACATTTCAATTTGAAATGTTATAAATTCTTCACAGAAATCTGGAGATGTTTTGTTTCTCTTCTATTTAATGTTTTTGTCAGAAAATAAAAGGCAGGGTGCAATACTACAAATAAAGCATTTTTTTAAAGAGACATGGAAAAGTTCCAAAGCAGCATGCTTTTGGTACAATAACACTATTTTTCTAACTACTCAAACAAATGGAGGTTTAAAATATATATTTTATATACAGATTAAGGATGGAAAAACCATTTATTTAACAATGCCTTTTTAAAATCATGTTCACTATGAAGTCCAAGTCTGGAAAAATACTCCATGTAAGGATAAAACCTCTGTAACATTCCACTGACCAACTGCTCTGCAGTGAAAAAAAAAGGAGATTCTATATTATTGTCACCCAAACTATTTTCATATCCTACAGAACCCTTTCCTACCTCAAACCTTCCCTAGGACAAAGACAGTGCTGGTTCTCTGTTGTTGTTCACTCTGTGCACTTTCCTCTTTTTTATTTTTTCCTCCCTTAAAAGCTTCCCCTAGACCAACTCTTGAGCACACAAAAATATCTTCAGTGTAGTCAAGGTTTCTCCAGTAAAACACTCACAAAGCTATGTAAAGCTAGGGATATTGTGTAGCACATATTGTCCCCTGATTCTTACATGACACATATAAATTCAGAGCACAAATCAAGGATTGGTTTAAGATGGCAACTGCTGGCAACCACATACATGTTCTAAAGGAAAATGCTTCATCTCCAACATCTCAGAGCTCCAGTAAAACTAGAGGGGACCTGAAGCCCATCAGCAGTGAGAATGCTCAGCTGCACAGCCTTTTCTCATTAAGCAGCTGAGACACTTTGATTGCAGCTCTCTGGACAGTGAGAGGTGGCCAACAGATTTATTTATAACAGCAATTTTTGTGCACTGCCAGAGTCATTGATTCAAGGGAAGAATTTGGAGTTGGCAGCTATTCCTAGGAAAAAAAGAGACACAGTTTTCTTTGAGTTACCTAAAGGATTCCCAGAGCCCTTTTGTTAAATGTGAGGTCTGTGAAGACTTCAGTCAGAGAAAACAGCACCACTGGTAAGTATTATAAACTGAAACTTCTCAGGAAGCAAAATCCTTAAAGAACAAATTTCTTAATAAGCTCACCACTTTAAGAGCTGCAGTAACATTTCATGTTTGCAGCTGCTGACTCTGCCCTATTTGTGTTTCTGATTCACAAAACGATTCCGTTTCTAACACCTAGCACATAAGAACGAGGTATTTCTAAGCCAGCCAGAGGAACAGCAAAGGGAAATTTTCTTTTGATGAATGAACAAACACAGCTTTTTCTCCTTAATCTCACGGTGTAACCAAAAGCAGAGGGCACAGGAAGGAGGTGAGAGCAGCTGCTGACCTGTGTAGAGGCGGTAGCACTTTCCGGAGCGGCTGCGGCCGGCGCGCCCTGCCCGCTGGTTGGCCGAGGCCTTGGACACCGGCACCACCACCAGGCACTCGATGGCTGTCTTGGGGTTGTAGGCACGCAGCTTCACAAAGCCGCAGTCGATGACAAAGGCGATGCCGTGCACCGTGATGGAGGTCTCAGCAATGTTGGTGGCGACGATCACCTGCGGCCACAGGCACATGGAGGATCCCGTGAGCGCCCCACCAGCCCGTGAGACATCTCGGCCCAGGACACGCTCAGGAGCACAAAAAGATATGGTACAAGCAGCAGAAGGAGCTGTCAGCTTGAAATAAGCCCAGTTTGCAAAGCAGCTCTCACAGCTTCACAATCACTTTCTTATTCAAATTTATTCTCTCTTCATAAAAGGAGAGCTTGGCAGTGTTTGCAGAGAAAATCATTGGCAGTGTTTGCAGAGAAAAAGATTAACTGACTGTAAATTAAGTGTTCTCATGTAGCAAACTAAGAATATTTTCCTTCTGCTTCTCAGTTACACTGAACTGTTCTCTGTACACTGGAATGAGGTGGGGGATAGGAGGGGAACAGAGTTGATTAAGAGCTCCAGATTCAGCATTCCTGCAGGGATTCACTTATATATGTATGCCCTAAAATATTAAAAAATAATTGCTCCCAAAGTGGAAAATCTAATGCTTATTTGCCCTGAAATTAAAAAGTAAAATTTGAAAGTTAACTGACTAATGTCATACCCCAAAGAGAAATATTTATATGAAATGTTCTTCAATGCCAGATGAACTATTTCACGTGTCAAACTCCAGCAGGTACAAGAATTACAAGTCACTTTGGTGTAGTTTTGTCAGCTTATTTCAGTCCCAACATAGGCTCTGCATACACAGAAAGCACTAATCACATCCAATTATATACTTCTGTGACATTAAATGTCAAAACAGGATGTGCAGAAGTCAAAACAAAGCTTTTTTTTCCACTAAAATCATGTAAGTTTGAACTTGTTCCTTAGATGAAAATACAGCACTTACCCACACTGTCACTAATTCTTCCACTACTGGTGGAAAACAGCCATGGACATTTAGACCACAAAAAGAAAGAAAAAGGTAAAAGCAGAGGAGTTCAGAGTGCAAGAAGCTGCAGCTGAATAAAGTCAAATACAAATGTCCATGGAGACACTTAAAAATTGCAGAGTTGATAAGGCAGACAGGAGAGTTGGAACTGACATGTCTAGGAGTGATCAAAGATGAAAAGGGAAGCCAGGGAACATGTTCTTGGTTCCCAGTTTGAAAGCTGACAGGCACTGATGGGAGATGCAAAAAGCCTCCCCCAAAGCTGCATTTGCAGTAGTCCCATGGTGTGAACCCGATAAACGCAAGCTGTGTGCTCCAGACACCCTTCTGGGTGGTGGAAATTGAGACAGACACAAGAGCTCACCTTCCTGACAGTGTGAGGGACTCTCTCAAACACTTTCAGCTGCTCAGGAGAAGGCAGCCCAGCGTACATGGGGAGAACACGGAGGTGCTTTTTCATCCCGGTGCGAGCGAGGGCCCGAGCCTGTTCTATGAGCATGGAAACAACAGTCTCCACTTCCTCCTGCAGCCAGAGCAGCACAGGGCACACAGTGAGAGAGGCTGCACTGTAACAGCACATTCCTGTCACCTAGACACAAAACCTGCACCAAATAATACCACTGGAATTGTACAAACTCCAGCACTTTGACTAGCTCGCTCCATATTGTAATATTCTTAAGATAAATTGCTGTTAATAATAATAAAGCTTTATATACATGTTTGTGTTCACTGTTACTTGAGTCAATGTCACACCACAAACACACGAGCAAAATCACAGGGGAAGGACTGAACCAAGCTCAGGAGGAAACAGGTTAATTTTCCTGTCTGTCTTAACTGGTGAGAGCAAAATGGGTGGTCAAAATATTTTGGCAGTGCAGAATGCTGTGGGCCTGGATCAGGAATGGCACAGGAAGAGTATTGACACCTCTTGCTCAGCTTCATGTTTAATCTCAGCTGTGGCATCTTGGTCTTAAAAGACAGAAACCAAAATGTTCAAACACTGCCTCATGAAATACCAAATTCATTATTCCAAAGTTAAATCAATAAAGGGGATGAGGAATTGCTTTTGAAAATATGCAAGATGTTATTGAAACTCTTCACGGTAGCTCCTGACTGGAGACATGAGTTGTCTCCCATTTGCTCTTCCCAGCTGCAAAGTGAGCTGACAAGCATAAATAAAGCAGAAGAGACCAATGCATTTTGATCTCATGGCAATTTGTTTTTCTGTCAAATACTTCAGATGTTAAGCCTAACAAATGGAAATTCCATTTGCCTTAACTATTAATGATGACTCACTGTCAATTTAACAGCGGGGTATGTGTGACTTGCACCAGCAAACCACACAATATTCCACTCACAAACAAGGCTGAGAAAATACAGCATTAAATGACAAAAACTATCATCCATCACCAGCTTTGATAAATTCAGGCCATATATTATTGTCTTCACATCTTTGGGACTGGCCTAATTTTGGTCCCATCAATACAGAAACGCTTGTCATCTTTACTGAGAATAAAGCATGCACAACTAAGGAAAGCCTCAGGAGACTGAGGCAGCTTTGCAAAGCTCACAATACAGCACTGTAAAACAAAAAGAAAATTGTTTATGTCTATACCTGGCCAGTTAAAAATGCCAGTATATCACCATCATTCTCCATCTGGTGAATTTTCATTGTAGTTTCCACAGTTGATTTTATATAGTCAGGAACAGGGCTACGGAAAGAGAAAAGAGCAGAGACATGAGCAGAAAAATAGGTACAGATTCCTCCCCTCCAGCAGGGACAAACAGAGAAGTTTTGGGACACCAGAGCTCTAATCTAGACAAAATAATAGCACAATTGCACAGTCTCACTACTGCCAAGACCAGACAGGAACACACCTCTGCAGGTAAAAGATGTCCACTGGAAATGTCCTCCCCTCGACAGTAAGGATCACACTGGTGTCCTTGCTGGGGTCACCGGTATCGTTTTGATTAAAGAAATCCCTGAATTTCTACATTAAAATAAAAACAAACACTTTCAGTTTGACATTTCAAGGAATGGAGAGAAAAACCTAAAGACACAAAGAAGTTAAATTACTACTATGTGGATGTTTACCTCATCAATTTGACAGTGCCAATTAAAAAAGGTGAAAGTTTGATTTTGTTGCCTTCTATTCTGTCTGGGGCTCAGGCATTTAGCACAAATAGTGCTGCATGTTTATTACTTTGAGAAGTAAAAATTGGAAAGGGACATAAAATTAATTATATTTTGATACCATTAGAAGATAAAGACACTTTTAACTGGATCTATCACATGAGTGAAGTCAAAGTTAAGAAGAACTTAGAAATAATTGGTGCAAAAAGGTTTGTGTAGGGCCTGCATATTCTCATCCATTTTTGGATGAGTGAGTAAATTTTACAGCCCTTACTGAACACCAAGATCTCACTTTGTAAAAGCAGAGTTAGGCATGATTTATGAAAGTTTTTGATTTATGTATTGTGAGACACCTTCATTAATTTAGATTTATTGTCATGAAGTATTTTCAATAAATAACAGCAAAAGACAGAACTTAAGAACCCATATAATTCATCTCAACTTTAATGAGCATGGTAGAGATAACCATCAACTCTCTGTATTAAAAAACTGTTTATACAGACACACCAATCATTTTGCTGATATTAACTCATATTAACTGTCATCTATTTGAAATGTGGTTTCTGGCAGTTAAAATTTTGCATTGTAATGCAGAATATACAGCAGTGTAAACACTACCAAAGCACAGCACACCACCAACATTCATGGCATGTGGTACTTGTCCCTAAAGGAAATCTCTGTGTGCTCACATCTTCAGTGCCACATCCTTACTAAGGACAGAGCAATACAAGCACTTTTCACTTAAGAAAAGTGGAGAAGAGGAATGAACATGATATAGGAGATGGAAGAGCTGCCATACGAGGAGAGACTGAAAAGGCTGTGCATGGGGAGCACAAGGTTGAAAAGACACAGCTGAAGTTTACAGAATCAAAGGTGACAAAGCAAATGTAAAACTGTTTTTGAGAGTGGTTTTTTTTTTAAACACAAATCCCCAGTACAAGAACTGGGAGGCCCTTGATGAAACTAACAGGTTTGAAAGAATTAGACCAAGTACTTCATTATATAGCAGGTGGCAAACTCCTGAAAATTACTCGTGGTGTCCTGGAGACTTGCAGATTCAGAGACAAATTAACAAACAGCAGGCCCATAAACACACAGTAGAGGGGAAACAGCAGGAAGGTGCTGACTAATCTGTACTACAGCTCCTGCAGATGCTGAGGCAGCTCAGAGAACAGACCCACAGCAGGTGCACAGGCTCACGTGCTCTCCCCAAACAGCATCTCCTGTTGCTGCTGCTACAAGCAGAACACACGGCTGGGTGGAACACTGCTTGGCTCTAAAAGAGTTCCTTTTTTGTTCCTACTGAAAATTAAATTAATTATGTTTTTACCAAGTTTACATAAGTGTCCACAGGCCACGAGTCAATCAGGGATGTAGTAAGATCTCACTGAAATTAAATCCATTCATTTATCACTTATTTTTACAGGTCTATCTTTGCCTCAGATTATTTCTATCAGCAAAACTGAGCTAATTCAACATTTCTTAATAAATTAAGCAATGAGAAAATATTTTTATAAATAATACAAATAAGGTGAAAAAAGATATCAATACATAAAAAGCAAATTAATATTTAAACTCACATCCAAAACAGTTTGCTAACAGAACATGAAACCAAATAGAGCAACTGAACTACAGCAGATTTTTTTCCTGCAGCCGCTCAAGCAGCAGCACAGAGGATAAGCTGTGCATAAATAGCAGTGGAGCTGCCACCTATGTCATTTCATTTCAGCCCAAATCTCTGAGCTCTACCTCTGCATCCAAGGTGGCTGAAGCCACAATCAGGCGAAGATCCCCACGCTTCTTCTGAACCTGGGAGAGAGACCAACAACACCCAGAGTTAAAACTGTTTTCTGAAATGCAAGACTAGGACTAAGACCTAGAGAACCCAGAGAAACCTCTCTGTAAAACTACTTTAAACTACAAGATAGATGATGAATGAAGCATCCATATCACCCCACAGGTTTAAGGACCCGATGACTGTTTGGAGTTTTATGTATTTACTTTAAGGGCATTCAGTCAGTTATTTTAATCTACTCTTAATTTCTGGTGGGAGTCAGATCTTAAGCAGGTTGAAAGTCAGCAACAAGCCCCTGTCAGATCACTTCACATGATCAACAGTGCATTTTTGGTACTATCAGCTAAGGAGAGATTTCAGCATCAGGGGGAAGAAACAGAGGATCCTGAATGTCAGATGACCAAAGTAAATAGCTGGGTATGTACAATAGGCTGTGGGATAAATGAGGAAGCAGCAATCACACTCCCTAAATGAGGAAGCAGCAATCATGCTCCCTCAATTACCAGCCATCAGGATCAGAGGTTGAATGAAAAGGATGAAAATTAAAACAGTTACAGAAAGAATTACCTTTTTTAGTAAGCCAATAGCAATGTCTGTATAAAGAGTCCTTTCATGAGCTTCGTCCAGCATGAGGACGCTGTGAAAAAAGCAGAAAGGTTTCAGAAATTAATTAACTGACACTAGAATCAGTGTCTCCCTGTCTTCTAGAAACATCATTATCTGAAATCTGATGCTGGGCTATTACTGTTCACAGCCACTTACAGAATTAGGCAAGTTAAAAAAACATGCAGCAATGAAGTAGGGAGAAACATGTACCTGAAAAATGACATCACATGGGACATACACACTGTTCTATACTCAGGCTAGTTTTTGGAATGGAGTAGAAGAACACAAGTCTATGTTTACTGTATTGCATAGGTTTTCTGGATATCAGAAGAGCCTATTTGTTGTTGATTTTTTTTTTATAAGGAAGAAAGAATAATTTAAAATTAGGAAATGAAACAATTTAGGCTCCTTAAGGCCCCCTTAGCTTTTGTCTCAAAACCACAGCATCAAATCCTGATGCTTTTGGTGTCACAACCATCAACAAAATATGTTGTTGCTAAAAACAATGTTTTTACAACATAAAGAATTCAGATTTCTAAAATAATTTTCATTTTTTTGGTATTTAATTTATAATAGCCACTAATATTTTATAAAAGCAGCTTTCATAACAGCTTAAAAAAGCAGGTTTTTACCAAATTGCACTTCAGCAAGCACTCATTCCATGTTTTCTTACCTGTATCTTGTTAATAAAGGATCAGCCATCATTTCCCTCACCAGCATACCATCAGTTAGAAACTAGAAGTGAATGCAAAAAATAAAAGTAAAAAAATCCCTATCATACAGTCTCAACTAACTGTGATCTTTAAAGATGATTTTCTAGGCTTTTGCCTGAATGTTTCCTTGCCTTTAATTTTCTAATCTATCAAATTAGATAGATAGATAGATTTTCAAATCTATCAAATTATTTCTGATCTATCAAATTAGACTGTGACTTCAACTGTGGTCTTGAACTATGCAAGAATTGATGGTGAAACCCTCCACATTTCCAACTCTAAATGAATAATCATCATGCTTAAAAAAAAATTAATTCAGCTCTATTTAATGAACAAGTACCTCCATTTCTTTCACTGTAAAAGGAACATCAACCTCTGAAAAAAGAAACCACAAAGCAAATTGTCTCATTCATCATCACTGCTATTCCAGCACAACTAAAGCAAATCCTCTTCTGCAGAAACACAAGCAACACTAACATTGCTCATAGCACTAAAGAACAGCTGCAAAGTTGCTATTTAATCTACCAAATTATCTCTCAGCCTTCTCATCTTGGGTTTTATCTGTTATTTTAATCAAAATCTATTTTTAGAGGAGGATACTTTCAGTCTGTGACTCACTGCAGCCTTTCCCTATAACTCTGAGTGACACACAGGTCACACCAGCGCTGCACCAACAGCTGGCCATGCCTTGAAATTGTCCTCTAGATTTAAAACAGAGCTTGTCAGACTATCAGAATAGAACAGGTACTCATGTTATTAAGGTTTGGATTGCCAAAGCCACTTCAAGCATAATTTTGAGGTACCCACCTGGGAAACTGAAATGTTACCTATTCTCTTGACTGGGCATCACAAGGTTCTCATTAATTTTGCATAAGTACTTGAAGAGTTTCAACTAATCCCTTCAGAGTAACCACATGGTGTTCGTGTTTCACCTTAATTCTCGTAGCCTGTGGGTCTGTGCAGTCATCAAACCGGATACAGTATCCAACCTCATGTCCCAGCACTGCACCTCTTTCATCAGCAACTCGGCCTGCAACCTGAGAAAAGAGATCCTTGTAAGCAAGAACCAGCTCAGCACGCTTCACTTGTGTCATCACAAACGACAAAGCCGTCTAAAGACACAATAAAACTCCACAATAAATAAATTAGTCCCTGTAGAATTCCAACCATAAGTTACTGTCAGTGATTTGAGTGACACTCTAACCCATACCTACAGGCAGTGAATTCATGATTGCCATTGGAATTTTATCACCCCATTACCTTCAGCCCAAGAATTCAGGATGTCAGTCTGGATAATACAAGCAGAAGTTCAGGAATTTCTAAACTATGCCTTATATCTTTGAAACTACCTCTCTTTATTTCTAGCAACTCCCCTCCTCCAGACAGGAGAGCAGGTAAGTCACCTATTAAAAAAAATATCATTTTCAGTTCAAGACAAAGCAATAAATCATCAGTTATATTCCTCATCTCCTGTAACAGCCACAGCCCATGCAGACTGCAACAGTTTCAAAGAAAAATCCTGCTGAGTCCATGTTCTAAGCCTGAATTGAATAATCTTTCTATTTTAGGCTTAAAAATGACGCACTAAGACATGAAAGGGAAAAGAGAAGTGAGTTTGCTGGGAGAAGTCATTGCAGCACTCCCAACATCTCCTGTAGAACTTGTGCTCTGTCAGCTGGATGCCCTATGAAGGAGAAAAGGGAGGACACTGCAGGCAGACTGCCCAAAGCACAAGATGCAGAGCACTGCTAGAAACTGTTCCCTTAACCAGGCTGGGTCTGGTTGAAGAATATTGGATTCTACACCAGTAGATAATGGTGTGTTGTAGATACCTTTTACTTTATAATAGAGAACAGGCAAAATGCTGTTATAAAACAGCACCTCAGTTCTCTGTATAAATAGAATGCTGCAGCGGAAACTTCACCCAAGTCAGTGCCTGGCAGCAGTTGTGAAGACAAAGGAGCACTGGAATGTTTTCTGCATATGCTGCTACCAGAGAGAAGTCATTGCCCTCAGCATCTCCTTTTTCCCCCCTCACAGCACACTGTTATGATCTCCATGACATAATATGTATAGGTAAGAATTTCTCACAATAAAACTGTTTGTTTTTCTGCCTGACATTTTTACAAAGGGAAACCAAAAAAACCACACAAACAAACACAGAAAAAAAGATTAAAAACCTAGTTATGAATTGCTAAAAAGATGTACACAACCTCTTCCACTGGCTGCATAACTATACACAGATTTATATCAGTGTTTCACCTTGTGAAGGAAGTTGAGGGTCACACAAGCACAGTTCTAGTCCTGAGTCAATCACAGCTCAGCCCTAACTTCTGTACACAGTTCTGCTGACATCAGTCAATTTTACTTCAAAGCTTCTACATCTGCAATTCTGGAATGTTGGAACATTTGGTCAGACCCACTAATCAGGTTTAATTCAGTGTCTAACACCAGCAACTCTTAGAGAAAGATAAGCAGAAACATCTATTCATTCAGAAGCTCGTGCAGATTCCTGCTATTCAGCAAAACCTGCTGATGAACTGGAGGTGATAATGCCAGGACTGGGGAGATGGGGACACTCACTGAAACAGCAGCGACCCGCCGAGGCTGTGTCACCCCAACAACTCTTCCTTCGGCTGTCCAGCCAGCTTCAGCCAGGTACTGCAAACAACAGTGGGGATAAAAGAGACACTGGTCATGCTGTGGTTACATCAGGGTGTTAGTTCCTCACACTTTGTGGTTTTACCTGGTTCTGCTCAATATTCCATGTAAGATCCCCTGAGGGATGACATCATTTTACCAACAGAAACAGACACTTACTTGTGGAATCTGTGTTGATTTCCCACATCCTGTTTCCCCAATAATCACCAGAGTCTGGTAGTTCTCCACTAAGTAAAGTATGTGATTTCTTAGCTGAAAGAGAAGATGACATTTAAACATAAAAAAGAGATTGCACAAAAATAAAACAATTCAAATTATAATATTTAAATATCTGGCAGACACAGTATCTTCTTGTTACATGGAGTTCACTGCCAAAAGCTAAACAGTCCTTTAAAAACTATAAATTACATGTACAGCATATAGTAAATAACATACATCTACGAAGCCCTTAGAACTGTCAGTGACAGTTGTCAAACAGGACAATAAATTCCAATAAAAAGAGAGCAAACTCATAAAATTCTTATTTATATTGCAAAGTGATTTTATACTGCTCTTTCAAAAAAAATAAAAAAAAAAAGACACAAGAACCAGACATCATACAACAGATTTAATGTGTCAAAAAGAACTTCTGTACCTTAAAAACAGGCAGCTTTTGCCTTTGCTGTTCAATGGAGAGGGAAGCATAAGGGTTGTAGATGACAGTCACAGCACTGCTCTCAGCAGGGCTCTGCCTCTCCTCTGAGACACTGACACCAGGACCTTCCGAGCCTACACAACAGGAGTGAATCTTAACTGCAACAATACATTTCTGCCTGCTGTGCCACAATACAATAAAAATGTTTCATACAAATAGGAATCATGGGTGGCAGCATATTAAAAAAAAACCAAACAAGTTTCCTGTGAAAGCAATTGAAACATTACCTAACAATAAACAAAGGATATAACCCTCACTTCAGCTCTGAACTTACCTCAGGAACTGAAACTTGATTTATTGCTGCTGCAAATTATCACAAAACTACTGACAACTGAAACTGTGGAATCACGCAAGTGAATTAGAAACACAAACTCATCTCAGTTACAGAATGTGTTATATCCAGCTGCAGATTCAGCTGGGAAAGTCTGAGACCAAAGAGGAGGATTCCCCTGTTTTGTAGGATTTCCTCGCTTGCACTTCTCCCACTGTTAAAAGGTTAACAAGCAGTTCTACCACAAATAAACAACTACTGTGACTGTTTCCAAGATGCTTCTCCACTGAGCTGCTCTCTCTGGTGTTAATCACATTTATTCCCATCCATAGCTCGGATTTTGCTCCTCCATCAGAACTCCTCAGGATTTCCCTGCACACTGCAAATCCCCTCGAGACCGCCGCAAAGAGCAACACACCCACCCCAAAATCCACCCACCCCACACTGGGCAGCACCCAGCTGGAGCCACCAACACCCCCTGCCTTTGGCAGTGAGGGGACAGCCATTTCCCCACTGTCCTCGCTGGGTCATCAAGGTTGGAAAAGACCTTCAAGACCATTCAGTCCAAGCATCAACCCTGCACCACCACTGTAATCACTAAACCACATCGCCCAGCACCAGATTCAGACGCCTCTGGAAAACTCTCAGGGATGGTGACTCCACCACCTCCCCGAGCAAATTATGCCTGACCACCCGAAGAGTGAAATAAAAAATTATAACAGCTAATGGGAATCTCCCGTGTCTCGGCTGAAGAGCCGTTCCCCCGGTTCTCTCACGGCACACACCGCAGAAGAGCCCGGCTCCCAGCTCAGTTCAGCCTCCCGGCAGGGATTAGGGAGCGAAGAGGTCACCCCTGAGCCTTCTCTTCCAGAGACAAAGCAAACCCCGCTCCCCCCGCCGCTCCTCGTAAGACACGTTCTCGAATCCTTCCAGAGCCTTGCTGCCTTTCTCCGTGAATGCTCCAGAGACCCCAAAGAGCCGAGGGGGGCAGCGCCGCCGGCTTTCGCCGCAGCCCTCACCACGGCCAGGCAGGTCGGAGCTCTGTCCCCCACACCCCTCACCACGGGCTGCACTCCCCGCGGCGGGGCTCCATCCCCCGCACCCCCACATCGCGCACCCCCACACCCCTCACCCGGCTTCCAAAACTTCACCGGCCCTACGGGCGCCGCCATCTTGGGGTGAGAGGGCGGCCGGAAGCGGCGCGCGGTGCCCACGTGACGAGGAGCGCGTTGCCATGGAGCCCGCGCGCCCCGGGCCCCCTCAGCGCGCCGGGACCGATCGGGGACTGATCAGTGACCGATCTGGGATCGATCAGTGACCGATCAGTGACAGATCAGTGACAGATCAGTGACAGATCAGTGACAGATCAGTGACCGATCTGGGACCGATCAGTGACAGATCAGTGACCGATCAGTGACCGATCAGTGACAGATCAGTGACAGATCAGGGACCGATCAGTGACAGATCAGTGACAGATCAGTGACAGATCAGTGACCGATCAGTGACAGATCAGTGACCGATCAGTGACAGATCAGTGACCGATCAGTGACCGATCAGTGACAGATCAGTGACAGATCAGTGACAGATCAGGGACTGATCAGGGACCGATCAGTGACCGATCAGTGACAGATCTGCTCCGGCCAGTGAAGCACCGGCCCCTTCCCTCACAGCCCCCAGCGCTCACAACCACGAGACCCCCGAGCAGTTCCTCGTACCGCTCTGTAACACCCAGAGCCCGGCAAAGTGCCATGCGAGCGGGTGGCTCGGCAGTGCTACCGTGATTCTGCGAGGAGCAGAGGACTAAAGGAGTAAGGTACAAATTGGGATCAGGCGAGGCCCTGGCACAGAGCAGCTGTGGCTGCCCCTGGATCCCTGGCAGTGTCCAAGGCCAGGCTGGATGGGGCTTGGAGCAACCTGGGATAGTGGGAGGTGTCCCTGCCATGACAGAGGCTGGGATGAGATTGGCTTTAAGGTCTTTTCCAACCCAACCCATTCTGTGGTCACCTGGCAGAGCACATAGGATTTAAGGGAGTTGAAAGATCACTGCCCAAAAGTCCCTGCTCATTAATTTATTAGAGCTGATTCCTTCCCCAGTGAAGGATGTCTCCACACTACCCACAGCACAGCTGCTGCACTTGACAGCAGGCAGCTGAAGGACAAGCCACGAACACTCCCATAAAAGCCCATGGAAGTTGCTGTTGAATCAAACTTAATGTAGGTTCTGAGCTAATTGAATAGAAGCTAAAGGAAATATAAAAAATAGAAAGCCCAAACTGTTCCTAGTAATTTATTTAGTAATACTGTCGTATATTCATGCTTATGGGAAAGTAAAAATCGAATCACATCCTATATTCTTAAAACTTCCCACATTAGCAATGCAGTTATGGCGGTTAAAACAAACTGCACCCCACAACACTCTACCTCTGTGGTCACTTGTTATGCTGAGTGACCACATGTAAAAGAGGTTATTAAGTTATAATGATGATGTTCTTAAAGTTCTAAGTGTATGTTTCAATGTACTTTTGATATTAGGTTCACACTATCAAAAATAAACACAACTTGCAGTATTTTGCATCACCAATATATTAGTAATTGTTGAGAAAAAATCCCACATGGAAAGAGCTGCCTATGAAAGTAATGAGGTGAATAATAAAGTGGAAAAGTTATCCTTGAGAAAATATGTACAGATAATTATTATGAAAATAACATTGCACAAACAGTATTTAGCATAGAGCTCAACACAATATGGAATTTGCCTTAATGGAAAATATAGCTAAAAATAAAAATACATATTTCAAGCTTCTTTACATCTGGATGGAAGTTAATAGCACAAAGCTATAAACTATTGAATATTTACAAATGAGGAGGGCCAGAATGATTACATTTCCATGATTGTAAGTACAGAAGAAAGAGGGCCCAGATCAGTTGCATACTAATCAATACATTTTTGCAATGTCCATTTTTGTAAGATCCATCTGTCCAGTTTAATGTTACCTTGCTGCTGCTCAGCTAAGATCCATGTGAAATTCCCCTACCAAGTTTTAATCTTCCCCTCTGAAGCCCAGAGCCCACAAGACACTCACACAAGCACATACCCGACTATTTTGCAGTAGAAGAGCCACAAGAACAACTGAGAAATGGTAAACCTTGGTTTTCACTAGTGAGTATCTGCACTGGCAGGCTGCTGGAGCTTCAGTACCTCAATGTGCAGCTGTTTGGGAGGACAGCTTATCCATTTGAGAGTGGTTTGGGTTTTTTCCTCTATAGAAATTAATAGGTTAACAAATAATAATAAAAAATTAAGCTTCCAAGAAACCTCAAAAATGGTTCCGTTGCCTACTTTGGTGTCATTGCATTTCTGGTGGAATTAGGACTTCTGTGAAGAGGCACCAGCTTCACAGATTTCAGATCTACTCAGCTTTTTCCACAAGATCTGACAGCAGCAGCAGCAGCCACAAAGAAGACACAAAATCTGTAATGCCAAGGCATTGCTCTCATTTGGCTCTCCTACAAACACAGTGGGTCCTTTAGAATATGATCACTTGCACACATTTATTGCATGATGTCCAACAACCCAAACAGTCTAATATAAAGGCCATGTAAAATACAGTCACTGCTAAACACATTAGCTTATTCTGCCTGCCAGCATAGTTTTGTATGAAAAAAATATAAATTTGAGGAGTAGTAGTGGGGTACCAACCCACTGGTTTCCAGATTAGGGTTACTCCTGTTCCATGTCATGAACAAGGTGGTGAAGAGTTTGTGCAACACAAGACCAAAACTGATTTCAGAGCCTGCTTTCATCTTGGAACAGACTTTCAAGCAATATTAATTTCAATACCTAGATTTGTTAAAAAAAAAAAAAAAGGTTGAGCTACTGAGCTATGACACTGCCAACCTATCAGCTTAAAACATGCATGAACAGGCTGAGAAATGAAAATTTAACAGAATAGTAGAAGTCAATAATGGCTTTATAGTATTCTTCAAACAAAGCCACAATTCCAGTTTCACTTTCTCTCAGTCTGAGGTTTCTTTCCCAGCTGCCCTCACAAACACACTGCAAGACAGTGCTGGACAGGGATGGATGGACGTGGTTCCTGAGGTTCTGCTGCTTGCTCTGCATGGACATGCAGTTCATCTCTCTATGATCCAGTGTGGCCTCATAACCAGGGAGCCATTCCTCTTAGTCAGCGGGGGAGAGGTGTGCATCGTGTTATTTGGGGTGTACACAGCCTCCCTGGAGGCATGCAGCCAGCTCCTCTTCCTCTTCAGATCTCCTACAAATGCTCTCAGATACAAAAATTCCATTCTCAGGAAGTGTTCCCTGGTCATGTCTCTGGAAGCCACTGTTATCCTGAACAGCTGGTCCCACACCCTGTTCTTCTTGCAGCTGGAAAACTCTTTGAGGTTGATAGGCTTTGACCGTGAATGAAGAATCCGAAATTCCAGGTCAAAGTGTGCAACGGTGGGGCCTGACAGGATCAAAATGTTACTGCTGTTCAGCTTTCCATCTGTCCATGTAAAACTAGCAAAGGAAGAGTGAGAAAATTATAAGTGAATTCAAAATAATCAGTAAAGAAAATGTTCACTGAAAATTCTCCTTCATCGCATTTAGTTATGTTGTTCTTACAACTCAACTGATGAGCAGTGGGCTCTTCTAAGAATAAATGTTAGTCATAAAGTCTGATAAGGAAAGCAATTCTGCAGCATTGCTGGTTTTCCTTTCCATGGAGAGAAATCGTAAAGAGAGAGAAAAAAATTGGCACTTGCCTGTAGGAGCCCGTTGTCACTCTAATGCCATCAATTAACATGAACTTTTCACGGACTTTTCCAATGATTTTGGCACCTGACCTGGTGCAGTATGTGCTCCCGGTGATAATCCGAACCCTCATCAACTGTTAAAGACATGGCCAGAGTCAGGTGGACTGCAAAGTTCAGTGACTGCATTCAAAGGAATAACACAGCAATAACCATCCCTGAGGAACTGTGCACTGGCACAAGAGTCACGCACTGAAAACCGAGTGAGGATCTTGTCTTGTTTTTGTAGGCAAAGAGATGACATTAAAGTGAAAACCCATAAACTGACTGTGCAGAATGCGACTGTGAAAATTCCTGTCACCTAATCATCAGGATCCAAATTCCACAGACTCCTGAGAACCTGCTTCTCCCTCAGCCTTCAAAGTCTTGGCGAGCCCAAGCAACTCCAGTCATGCTTTAGGAACTGGACATTCCTCCTGCGTTTCCTTGAACATTCAATTAGTATCTGTGCTCAGAAAGCAGCTGTAACATCCAATTACAAAGGTTTCAGATTTTCTATTAATCACTGTCTTAGGTAAGAATAGTTAAATCTTCCAAGGTAGAGCTGGAGCAACCTAACACCCATTTTAAGTTGTGGCAGCAGGTGTAATAATTTCTTCTTTTGACAGCTTAAAGATTACAGTTGTAAGAGGCTCAGTTCCCTACCCCTATAAATATGACAAGGCTTACCTTTTCCTGCTCAAGGTCAACTCCCAGATCCTTGCACATTTTTAGAAAGTGGGAAAATGAAGACTGATCTAGAAGGATATACACTTTAACTTGCCGTTGGCTACAGGCTTCCAAGAGGTCTGTGAAGATATCAGTATCTGTGAAGGAATCCATAACCAGAGCAATCATCTGAAACGAGTTTCAGAAGAAATCATTAGGTTTTTTTCCACAGCATCGCAAGGGAGATAGCACATGAGAAATTTGACTTTCAAATTAAATATTCCTCCCTGCCTTTTTTTCAGGTGGTTATGGAACATGGTACAGTTTTCTGAGATACAGTGTATTCTTCCTCACCCTGAGATAGAACTAGATCCCTGGTTTTGACCTATATTAAGTAAATTTGGTCTCTTCCTAAGCAAGAGGGTTTGGTTGGTTTTTTTTCTTGAGAACAGATGTTTCTCAAAAGCATTTTGAGAAGAAAAAGGTGAGCTTACTTTCAGTGCTACAGTTTTCCAGTCTTTCAACTTTGCAAATACAAAAAGAAACAGTAAGAAAACCTAAAACCACCGGTGTCTGACTGCTCTTTACATCTCACCTAAGATAAAAGTCAGGTTCATCTTCGCTATATTATTCAGATTCTCACATTTCAAGTCAAGATCTGAGTAAAACTTCCCTTGAGAGCCAGCTCCTACCCCTGCAGATATTCCCCGTGGGCTGAGCCCCGGGGTTTGCCGTGGATTCTCCGCAGGATGGGGAAGGAGCGGCTGTTTCAGAGAGCCGGGAATGGGCACGCTCGGGATGTTTCCACTCCCTGAGGGAACTTTGCGGCACCCAGAGAGCCCGGACTCGGTTTTCAGCAGTATGGGAGCGGGAAAGCCGGCAAATAACGAACCTCTTTTAAAAATAACTACAAAATATGGTGGAGAAGACATAAAACAATACGAAACAGCAGAGTAATTAAAAATGGAAGGTGATGTAAGAGTAAGCGAAGCGGAGAAGGACGAGGTGGCCCCGGGAAGCCGCGCGGGCAGGGCAGGACAGGGCAGGGCAGGGCAGGGCAGGGCAGGGCAGG